TGGATGAAAACAGCTGCCTCTTACCAAAATATATATTTACTAATTCGTTGGCTTTTGTAATTCCTTTGTCAGGATTCTTTTTATGAAATAGAAGCCAATATGCGTGTAAATATAAGTGGATTTTTAATTTTGAACCTTCCAACAGGAAGCATAGGTCACAGATGCTAGCTTTCCTGCGAAGAGACAGGAAATGTTGTATGCTATCATGCAGACTTTAAAACTCTTCTGAGGGCTTCCTAAATAAGTGTTATAATGATATTCTATATGGATTCAGTGAGGCATTATACAAAATAATGCAGCAATAATTCAGTCCCCAGAACGAGAGCCTCACAATATCTGAATAATGTCACAGCTTTGTGCTTTGGGCCTCCGAGGAAAGTTAACTGCTGAGGACAGTAACCAATCTAATGAAATGCGCTGGGAGTAGAGTCAGACCCAGCAGACGGCTGCCATTGCAAGGAAAGTATTCAGAAGAAACAAGCATGGAAAAAGGAGGAGGAGAGAGGAGAACGCAGCAGTGCGAATGGATTGAAAATTGAATGTGTGCTGCTGTGGATATAACTAGCCAGAGAGCTCATAATCTCTTTTCTGTATGGCACCAGGAAGCAGTTATATTTATTACTGCACTTTTTTCTCATTCATTTTCAGTACTGAAGATTTTCTTTAAAAGTCAAAGGAACTCAGAGGATTTCAAAGATAATTATAGAGGTTAGAATAAAAGAATAATACGTTTATAAATGTTGTCTTCAAGGTGTAAACACTCAGAAATAAATAGGAATGTCCACCTGGAGTAGGAAGTGACATTAATTTAAAAAAGATTAATCAGAACATGAAGCTAAGTCTAGAATTTTTAAGGATACCATGAAAACGTTATTGGCTGAGTTATATGAAATGAGATGGGCCATATCCTGACTACTGTAAATCGTGTTTTGTTACAAACACTTCCATTTGCATTCTGTTCCGTTACAGCAGATAAAGAAAAGGGTATGTGGGTGGAAAAATAATCATTAAATATTTTATATTAGAAATTCTTTTATAGCTAGAAGACTTAGTGAACACTGTTATCACTGAAGCCATTAACTGTTCTGGGATTCATTTGTCTTTTAATCAGGAACTGGCCTGATAAAAAGTAGATTGCCATGGAGCCATGGTCTCAAAAAGGAAAAGTCGGATCATATTAGCAGGAAAATTTCTATACTAGTCCCTACTGTCAGCAGTATGATTCTGCCAGTGCTTTAATATTATATTTTATTTGTAGTATATAATATCAATGAGTATAAAGTTGACTTGAAGTACACAGACTTACATTAGCTAACACATTATGGCAACATATTTTCTGTCAGTAAAATTACTAAAATAAAATTATCTGAAAATTGTGTCAACTGATTCGTAGTCAGTAGCCAGAACACAATGAAAATAAAAGATGTTATGAATAAATAAAAAATGCATTCATCAGCCACTAAAATGGCCATAATCTCAGTTTCTGAATAATTCTGTAATCCCACCCATGAGAGATGAGCCTCCTAACTTGATTGTTTTAGAGGGATTTGAATTGCTAAGATTACTTTTTAGTAATACACAATATAGAGACAATCTGGAGTCTCACAGAACTTTTCATCTATCTCTTGCTGTTTGTGAAGTTCTTAAATCTACCGATGTTAATGAACAGCACAGTTAAAGTATTATCTTCGGTACTTGTTCACAATCTAGTGTACTTGAAAAATAATCCCACACAGTTCAATTTGATACGCAGTAATATTATCATATCATTATAAAGTATAGCTCAGAAACCCTCTGCACCACATTTTCAGAAAAAGCCATTCTTATGTGCTTATGTTTTCAAGCATCAGTTTTCTACTTAGAATCTGATAATGTGGAAGAGGTTATGATTTTCACTTCCTTATGAAAAAATTATCAACTAAAAATATTAGTGATATTTGTTAATAAACCAAAAGGTAGGGTATGCCACAGTACAGCAAAATCAGAGAGAGACTTGTGAACTTGACTCAAAATGTGAATTGCTACATACAGAACTGCATTTATTTATGCTAACATGATTAATTCTGTCATCCTGTGCATCTGTATGTAAAATAGGTACGATAAAAGTACTGTTGTATGCAACTATAAACATGTTCTTATGAATTGTGAGCAAGGCTTATCCCCGTACCTTTAAACACTGCGGAACAATCTGGCTTCTGCCCAATTTTCAAGCCATCTGAATTTGTTTTTCTTAAGTTAAGCTTTAATTTTACATTATAACATCTATCCTGAGGCTTCAATGGCAGGGACTGGTATAGGGAAGTTTAGCTATTCTTCTCACTATCTCACCACCTCCTTCTTCTGTTACCAGGATGGAGATTAGAAACTCCTTGCTCTGCATGCAGGGTTTTAGAAAGGAAGACAGATCTGTCTGATTGCTCTCATTTCCTGGGTGCCAGGAACCTAGGTGTCATTTCCCTTGGCAATGTTGAGATCCTGGACTTTCAGTGGTGATGTAGTTGCCCAGGTATGATCAAGGCACACTACCAGCATTCCTCCGAAAAACATAAGGGAGGGAAAGCAATGGTTCCTTTAAAAATTCAGTACCTCAGTGAAATCTGGTATGAATTCTTTGGGTCAAAGAATTTCCACAGTGGTATTTCTGCAATGATATGCTGTACCAAATATCCATAGCTAGTGCTTCAAAAAAAGTGGAGGTACAAGAGTTTCTTCCTAGGAAGGCCTCAAAAAAATCTGGCAGAAAATGCCAAGCAACTTAAATGGAGAGACTGTTGTCATCTTTAACTCCATTGTATCTCTTGTCAGGTGTGGTCCTACCACACGTGAGACATATGTACAGAAGAGATAAGCAATATGTACATAACCTTAATATAATCTGTATGATTTGTATACATTTTAACATAATTGTCTTTCTTGTGAGTATTTATGGTAGCTTTGTCTTCCAGCAGATGTTAGACACTTGGATAAACTTCCATTTAATTTTAGAATAAAATACTAGTTATAAGGGGAAAAAATGGAGTTTAATAACTTCATTGTAGTGAAAAATAGGAGAGTATGTGTAATCTGTTTAAAAGCACTATTGAAAACTCGTGTCAAATTTTCATAGCTGTAGTAGAATTCTGAAACTGTTAATGAGGCTGGCTCAACCTTTTACTCCCACGGTTTTCTTCCCTGAAAATGCCGTATTAGAGATTGTTTCAGAACATGAACTTTTTCCTAACTTCTAACATGTTTATATTTTTTTATTTATTTCTATTACCTAGTTTCATCCTGGTGAACACACATAATCCAAATATGTAAATTGCCTAATACCTCTTGGAAGAATTTCACCACTGTTTGTTCATGTTTTATATTATGTGCCCATTGTGGTGGAGCTTGGGTTTTTTTGTTTTATTTTGTTTTTAAAGCTTCTAGTCTTTGAAATGTCTTTATTATTACTTAAATTGCAGAGCTAATACTCTTGATTCTGCAGTTAAAGTTACGATTCTACCTCTTTCTTACATATTTTCAAATGACATGCATAGCCAAATTCCAATCTGAAGTTAGGATAGCTGCACAGGGGTTTACATCCAGCTAATTTTTTTTTCCTTCGTTTAGAAGTATGCCCTTCTATTTCCCAGGGAACATACAAGGAAAATGATGAGTGAAATCCAGTTTGATGAATATTGGAAATTACTCTTCAAAAACTAGCATATTTTGCAAGTCACTTGCTAAATTTTATTGAAATAATTCTAGTGTTGTCCCAGGGTCATTACATGTTTTTATTTGTCTTATATAGGATTGTTAAATTAATATCACTTTCTTTGTCTTAGTACAGAAAATTTACTGATGCTATCTGTTACATTGCAATGATGAAGTATGTGTACACTGTTAGTGCCTAGTAATACTGGAAAGAAAGAGAATTCTAAAGAATATAATGAAGAAAAGTCAAATTAAAAGAAAATGTTATCAATATTATGGAAGAACTAAAGCTAACTTAGTTGTTATTTTTCTTAGTAGGCAATGTATTATATTATGCAGAGACCTGTTTAAGGTCCTTGCAGATAGTGTAATGTGGAGTCCTGCCATCTTCACAACGGGTACTAGTTTTTCAGTTGAATTCAGTGGGTCCAGGAATTCATATATAAGAACTTTGAATAATTGAGATTTGAAATATTGAGGAAGATTATATTTTTCACTCTGATACTGTGTTTTTTAAGAAGGTGGGGGTAAGTGTGATTGATTATTTATTATACTGGTTATACATGATCCCTTGCTAATACACAAGAGTGTTAACTTTCCCATTTTCTTTGCTTTACACTATTTCTTTACATTGAAAGGAACAACTCCTGGCATATGGTAAAGTGCTTCAGCCCTCTTTGATAAATATCTGGAAGGATATGTCTGGCTTTTGGATTGCACTTTTAATTAATAGATATTTAATTATCTGATTGGACTGCTTGCATTTCGTAGTTGAGCCCAGGACTCATCTGAGTTTTCATATATATAAAATATGAAGAAAGTCACAACCCCTAGTAGATGTGCTTTAGAAATTCTTTTCTAAATGGAAGTAAACCATTCAGAAAAGGCAATAAAACGGATCAGAACATTTCATCGTGAGTTCAAGCTAAACTCTATTCTTTGTTTCTTTTTTTTAAGATCATATTTTGTGTCCGCTGTGAAAGGAGATAAAACTGGAAAAGGGCATGTTGTAGTTGCTTTTAGTTTGACAAGAACCACTTGAAATTGGAACTCTGCTTCAGATTCTATAGTTCTGTAGTTTATGGTTTGTTAATATCTCCATTAATCACATCTAGATTCTGTTATTACAATTCCTCAGTGTCTGAGCAAAGTGGTAGAATATTGACAATTTCTCCTACTTACTTGAAATGCAAGTTTAAAATCTTTTATGTGAAGTAACATTATGAAATGAGATCATTAATTCTGCGAAGTATAGGAATCAAGCACCGCATTAAATGTAACATATGGTAAGTAAGTTGGAGGTGCTATTAAGATGGTATTATATCAAAGACAATAATTACTATGCTGTCTTCACTGCAATTTGAAATTTTTACTTTCCTAACAACACATTATTAACAAAATCATACTGATATGTGGCTGCAATTAGTGTTATAGCATGGAGGTGATAAAAATGTAGTTCTACTGCAGTATCAGTGTTGATCCTAAAGTGAAAGAATTATGTGGTTTTCATTAAGTGTATTCAGGTTATCTAAGAGAAATCTAAGTCTCTGGAGACTAGTGATTCTTTCCTTTCTTCAGCTTACTTTGGTTTGTATTCAGGTTTGGATCACTTCATTTCTACCCTGATCTTTATTTTGTAAGCAGAGGTCATATATGGCTGCATCATTTGAGAGCAAATTGAGGTCATCAGGAGTTCAGGGAAATTTTTCTTCTAAAATTTTTCTCCTGGTGAGATGTTTTATTACATACAAGGAATTTGTGCTTCTCCTTAAGTATTCAGCAAGATGCTTATACTCTGAATTGTGTCATAAGTACTTAGTATTAAATTTCTACTTTTTAATGTAAGGTCTAAATATGTGGGAATATGCTCCTTTTGCTAGATCTCTTGCACATTGCAAATGTACACAAGTAGACATGAGTAATGAGTAAAATATGTGAGACATCATTGAAGTCTATTCACAAAAAGTTGGGATGGAATTTCCAGTTTCATGGAAATGCTGGAAATCTGGGCTTGTAGTATTGCATATGTATTTTAGTCACTCCAACTTAGAAATACTGTGGATATAGCCTATTTTAGTATTCTAGTCTGCAGAGTGAAATCCCAGGTGAGTGGAATGGAAAGATATATTTCTACAGGTAGGTTTAACAGGACAGGGAGAGCATGGTTTCTGCTGAAAAAGACTGCACTGAAAGTGATAGGAATATTAAAATACCTCATATGGGTATTTTCTGTACAGTTCACTAAGAATTGGGATGTTCTCATGATGCTTTATCGTTGTCTCATTTATTTTGTAAGCTTTATGTGCTATTTGATAGCTATGCCATTCTGTTATATGCAAACTAACTTAAAACACCTCGATATAAATGTCATAAAACGTGGAATCTTTTTTTAAAAAATAGCTATTAAAATTGCATGTTGAACCCTGGCATGAGATAATGCACACTTTTTTAAATTAACCTATTAGGAAAAATGATCATTAGAATATGAAGAACATTTAAAATTTTATCAGAGCTAGAAAAGAACAATTTATTTTTTACTTATTCTTCACAATTTTTTGCCTGCCTATAGGAAGCAAGTGATTGTGTTCCAATATGAACTTACTGGCTGTTTTAATATTTGATGTTCTCACTGTGGAGATTTTTTTAATTTCATGATTTTTTATTTTTTATTCTGCTTTCTATAGACAACACGGAAGGAGATTGAGAAACGCCAGATTCATCTTAAGAGCATCAGTGATTTAGGAGAGAATTTGAAGACAGTGCTGAAAGGAAAAGAAAGTCTAGTGGAGGATAAACTCAGCCTCCTGAACAGTAATTGGATAGCAGTAACCTCACGAGCTGAGGAATGGTTCAATTTATTACTGGTAAGAGTAGTGTATTTGTGCATCTAGTTTATTAAACAAGATTTAGTATAAAAATGCATAGGAAATGTTGGTGCCCAGTTTTAGGTGCACAGCCTCGGAGAATTGCTTTCTCTGGTCCCCTAGAATATGTTTATCTAATACATAGATATACAGACAATCAAATTGATTGTTGTTTTCTACACTCTGTTTATTTTAACAATCTGGCTAAGTTTTTACAGAGTGACGGCTCTTTGGAGTCTTGTTTGTTAGCTCTTCCCCTTCCTGTCTGCCTCAGTAGAGCTTTCTGGGATTACTCTTTTGCCTGGTGGATGGAAAACAATTTCTTCTCAAAGGCCTTAATTACTTGAGTGTGAAGCAAGTGAAGGAAACAGTCAAATGAGTTGAATAAGTCTTGGTATTGAAACATGCAACTTCAGCTGCTTTTGCCCACGTTAACATTTCTGTCTGGGTAACTTTCATGTTGGTTTGGTTCACATATTTGATTTGGTGTATGTAAACTAGATTCATTGCAGAGGCAACTAAATCAAAGCTCTGCTCAGGGTGCACACCTAATGTGCTCCGAACAATGATCTGGTCCTTCAGCCCTGTGTGAGCCTCCTTTGGACAGTTTTGTGGTGCGTGTTTGGTGGAGATGTTTAGTTAAGGGGACCGGAATAAGCCTAGTCCAAAACAAAACCGTAACCACATATAATACAGATTTCGGAGCTCCAGTCCCCACTGTTTCAAACTACCGGCAGGCACTTAACCATGTTCTCCCCTAATATTCATTCCACCGTGAAGGGATGACAACTTGAATGCTTAAATGCAGAAAGGTCTTAACCATTTGGCTACCAGAATCCTTTAGAAAATCTCCTATGTTGTTTCTATTGCTGTGATAATAGAAATGCAATTTCAACCCAGGGAAACTGAGGTGGTTCTTTGGGGTTTATTAACCTTTATCATGACTTCAGCATTTCAGAACTTAAGAGCTCCACCAGAGTCCGTGTGGCTGCCTTAAGAATGCGTCTGTGACTGGCATACAGCATCACCTTGGGTCTTCTTCTGCTGTATGCAGGATACAAGTGCAGGCATCTGGTTGGGTGTATTCTATCTGGAAAACTTAACCATTTCCTTCAGTATGACATTGGTGCTCAGCTTCAACATAGACCCATTTATAGGAAACATATAATGGAGTTTATGGACTGGTATACTTACGTATTCGTTACCTTCGCTCTCTCTCCGCTTTGGATTCTTGTGTCAGTATTTACTAGAACCCATGATAAAGAAGTTATAAGAGAGGAGGTTGGTTCTTTGTTATGTTTAGTAATTTTAGAATAATGTATAGGTATGTACATGTGGTGGCCGAAAAAACAGTGCTATTAACATCTTTGATCTCATGTATATGGTACACATAGGTACCATGCAGGGATTATAAACTATTGCAGTTTCTAAACTAGTAAGTAATATTCTTTATAAGCAAAAAGAACATCTCAGTGACATATTACAGTGGCTGTCACTGTTGTTATGCTACTAAAATATCCATGTTCTTGTAGTCTATGTTTAGAAGTACACATAGTGCCTCTGGAATTTTGAGGTGGATGTGCATAGACCTTATTGTAGTGAGATCACCAAGAAAAGACCACAGATTTTTAAATTAAAAAAAAAAAATCAAAAACCTTTTATCAGAATATCATCTAGAATAGCTTTTTAAAAGCAAACTTTCAAAGAAGAGGAGTTATACAAAACATAAATGAAAGTTTTATATACAAAGCTCCCTTTCCAGATTGTGACTTTGCAAGGGTGTCCTTGTTTCCATCTTGGTTTCGTATAATTTAGGGGCTTTCCAAAATGAGTTCTATACCTGGTTCTTAGGAATCTTTACTTCTTATCATCACCCATAAGCCTGGCTATCAGCTTCCTGCTCCTCTCAGCAGTCTCTCTGAGCTGCAGGCACCCGCTTCTTGCTGTGACCAGATCACCCTCCTCTTTCTCTGCCTGTCACTTTGGAAGCTTCTGCCTCTACCACAACGTCTTTTCAAACAAACATAACATATAAAGTGAGAACAAACAAATAAAAGATGCTCTCCTCCACACAAACAAGCACTTATTGCACCAAATAAACAAATTTAATTTCATAATACATGCATGCTTGCCACAGTTCGCATAATTATAGCTATTATTTCAGTTCTGATTACTTTTTGTATGCAGTATGTACCTTTTTCATATACAGGAATATCAAAAGCACATGGAAGCTTTTGATCAGAAAGTAGCTAATGTCACAACTTGGATCTATCGTGCTGAAATACTGTTGGATGAATCTGATAAACAAAAACCCCAGCAAAAAGAGGAAATTCTTAAGGTAAAAAAAATGTAATTTTCTGAAAAGTCTTAATTTTATTCTAAAAAGGAATATGTCAAAACTAGTAGGTTTAGAAAGGTATCACAAATTGATAAGAGTAACATTCTTTTTTCTGTGATAAAGCTACCCTCTGGTAGCTTGTAGATTACTTAATAAATTTACACTGCATAGCAAAAGTTAAATCCCTGCAGAAGAAAAAAATGATATAAGGCTTGGGGACTTCATGGTGAGTAGAACAGCATCTTTTTTAAGCCTATGTTTGCTGGAAATTATTTCTTAAACACATCTAGTTTTTTTAAAAAAGGCCTTTTTTCTCTATGATTTTCATTTTTAATTACTTTTCTATTTTTCTGTGGTGCCTTTCTGATGTCTATGATATCTGCTTTAGTTATCTCTGTCATATGGCTGTTTTAATTCTATAAGCACTGTTTATGGTAATGCTAGTCCACCACCACCACAGACAAGAATATTCTATGCCGCACTAGCTGTATTACAACAGGTCAGTGTACTGATCATAAGCTTTATTTGGCTTGTTGCATCATTTGACCAGCTGATTAAAAATTGACTTCTGAGTAGACATGAATTTTAAAGTATCTCATCTAAAATAACTTCTTTATTTAACACTGAACAACTCTGAATTATCATTTCTATCGATTTTGTTTTGCTACAGAAATCACTGTAAAGTTTGACTTTGTATTCAGCTACATGGTCAGTACACACTACCTGAGGAGTGGTTTGCAAATCAAAAGGAGGACTATATTGCTAACACTAACATAATGATACCATTTCCTAAAGCAAAACTTTACAAATTCCAGCAGCGTCATAATTTCCAGCTAGCACTTAACAGAGAGCATAAATCAATGCCTTACTGATCTCAAAAGAATTACAGTACAGACTTTTGTAGTAGGATGAACAATTTTACTACCATAACATATTAAATACAATTATTTTTTCCATCAATACAGACATATATATGTGTTGTACAAAGACATTTCATATAGACAGTGAAATGTAATTCCTGAAGACTAACTTTATTCGTGATTCTGTAATGTCTAGCTATCTCTTTGGGCCTCTGCCCATGTTATAATCTACCATTAAGATTACTATTGCAGAGGAAGATGGTATTTTTTACCCTCTGCTTTTTGGAATTCATGATAGATGTATTAAAAAATCACATTGCTGTTTATCTAATTGTTTTTCCATACCTCCACTATGACTATAAATGATAATGAAAGCAACAGCTATACATCCAGTTCTGTTTTAATATGTGAAGTAGCAGCACCTCTTAGCTTTAGGACCAGTAGAAAAATCTAGTGTGCTCTGAAATAAAGTGCATATTGTATTATTGCAGAAGGGAATCTGTCTAGAAATAATATGTTCACCATTATTTTCCACTGGAAGATTTTTAAACAGTTGTGTTTAGTAGATAACATTTTTCTATAAATTTGAGAGAGGTGAGTAGGAGTGTTATCTAATGTATTTCTACGGTATTTTCACGCTTACTCATAATTGTCTGAATTTGCTTTGTGGTTTTGCTCCCTATTCCTTTGCACACTCTCTCTCTCTCTCTTTCTCTCTCTTTGCATTTATTACTAACTTCAAGCCCTGTCTCTTGCTCACGGACTGTAGCGCTTAAAGGCTGAGCTGAGTGATATGCATCCAAAGGTGGACTCTGTGCGTGACCAGGCAGTAGACTTGATGACAAACCATGGAGATCACTGCAGGAAAGTAATAGAGCCTAAACTATCAGAGCTCAACCAGCGATTTGCAGCTATATCACAAAGAATTAAGAGTGGAAAGGTAGGAGGAACTGCTTGCGTGGGGAAATACATGCAAAATGGTATTTATATAGGGTGCACAATTACAAATACCGGAGGCTGGGGGGGCTGCAGCTTCCCTAAAAACTAAGTGTTCAAAGAAAAAAAAAATGTAGATCCTAAAAATATTAAGGAAAAAAAGTATAATATTTTGGAGGTTTTGGCATCAAAGGTCATACTCTTTTCACCATGTCACCATTAAAAGTATTTGGTGACATTATGTGAATGTAACAATAATTACTTCATGAACTTATAAAGAATGAATATCATCTTGTGATTAGTAAGATTCTTAGTCTTCTCAAAGCATGAGTAGCCTTTTTTGATATAGAATAGTTTTTGGGAAGTAGTTTTTCATTAGATACACCTACTCCTTTCCTATGAGGCTGTGACTCACCAAGGTTTGATGCATATAGAAATTATATCAACTATACTTCAGCTATTCATCTCTACTACTAGTCTGAGTACTTTACTGAATCTAAATGTAATATGGATTAGGTCGTTTTTAGCCAAGTTGTGATTCCTGAAGTGGGATGAAGGAGGACATAAGACACCTCCTTACTCCATTGCGTTTGCTACCTTTATCACAGAGAGCAATTTGGAAGGGGTGGAAGATTGAAGCAGGCAGCCATGCAGGTTGGTATATAGGATCCTGATCTTAACTTCTAACTGTGGTGTCTAATGTGCACTGGAAATGAACATGCAGAGGACCGGTGGCAGAGCAGGAAATAAACCATGAGTCTCCTGAGCTCCAGTTCTGTGCGCTTTTTATTTAAGTGCTCTCCTTCCTTGTCTCGCTGGGTTGCATGACTTTATCAAAATGTAGCATGCATACAGCAGTGTGATGGTAGAATGGATTTTATGATCTGTTACATGAAAAAAATCTTTTCAAGTGTAATTATCTCATTACTGTTTCCTGAATTCTGCCTTAGGGCTTGCGGGTTTTTTCCTCAGTAATATAATTTCCCTTTAGAACATACTACCCTCATATAAACACTAACCAATGATATCAAAAGCAGCTAAGCCTTGTAAAAGCATAAGCAAAGGCACATGGTTTTCATCCATTGTCTGAGGTACTCAATACCCTCTAAAATCAGCATATTCTTTGTGGTATACTTGGGTTTATTTAAATTTCATTTCTGGAATAGAAAAGAATATGCCCTTTGAAAAACACTTCATGGAAGAAAATACGAAGTAATGGGAGATGATGTCTATGATTTCTTGAAAATGTTAGAGATGCACAGGGGTATGGTTTGGGGTTTCTTTTCTACAAATGTAATTGATGAATTGTACACTAACAAACCATAAGAATGAAAGGTGGCATATGGTTGGCATCATTAGAATTAACAGCAGTATAATTCACATTAATCTTAAATACAAGGAGTGTTCAAAAGAGGATATCTGTGAATTCATCAAAATGCTATTTACATAACTTCTCGTTTTAAGCATATGTCTTATTTTAATATTAGAAGAGAAAATTTAGTCAGTAAATGCTCATCGTTCTTGAAAATTATTTATTTTCTGTCACATGAGTATTACTGGAGAGTGAACTGCTGGGTTGTTTAAATCTGATGTATTATTTGGCTAAAGGGGAAAGTTGAAAATATTCCTTGTTTCATAAATGCTAATAATGTCCTACTGCAGTATTTCATCCTTGCTAGCTAACTGCTACTGGATGGTTTCTAATTGTTTTGATATTCAATCAGGTGCAAGTTATTTAGCTTCCTTGACCAAGAAAAGAGTTACTGTCAGTGTGCTAGTTTGTCCCACCAATCTAGTGTTTCTTTTAATATATATTTCTACATGGCAACAACCAAGCCACCTTTTTCAAAAAGTTCGTCAACTTTTCCTAGGTAGTTTTAATAAGAATTTTAAGGAAAAAATAGTATTACATTATTGCATTAAAAATGTATTATGTAGTTATTTTTATAATTGTTACACCTTTATGCAGTACAAATGCTTACTGTACTTTCTCCATGGAGAAAGTAAGATTCCTTTGTATTCATAAAGCAGTGCTAAGTCATAACTGCTTTTATTTACCGTATTACTTTGAAATTTGGAGGTCACCATTAACGGGCTTATATAAAAATGCCTAAGTTGTATTAACTTCTTCCTGTCTTTTTTGGTAGAAAACTATGTTTGGAATTATGTGGATCATTAATGCTTCAAAAAGTTGGAGATGCACAGAGTCTTAAGCAGAAAAATGAATATCTTTCTCCAAATATAGATTTGTTCTATTAGTACATTTTCAATGGTTTATTTCACTACTACCAAGCTACTGCAGCAAAGGGGATTCTAGATATTTGTTAAAGCTATTGCTAAATCAGTTTCTCTGACTTCACAGTTTTTATATAGCGTAGTTTCCTCTGTTCAATTTCCTTGTAGCTGTCCTACTGAACCATTCCCCTTTCACTTTGATGTTTACAGCATTCAAGTACTTTTCAGACATTATCTGCTGTCTGACTAACATTGTCGGACTAATAAGTATAATCAAACACATATTTTAGTTACCTTTTATTCGTAAACATAATTGTGATTTGCATGTCTACCTCATCTTCAGTCTCCCCCAAAACTTTTCCTTTCATAAACTCTCAAGCAGTTTGTATAGATCTAAAGAAACCTTTTACCTTTTGCTGCTGTAAATTTTATTTCATCTTCAGAGTGTGTATCAGGGGTTTTTGTTTTTTCAGAGAGTCATGGACATAAAAATTCCTATTGCTGCTGCTTTTTCAGTGATTGAACTGAATGAGGACAGAGCTTGAGCTTCAGCTTATTGCTGAAACACATCATGAAGACTGAGTTTAGACCACTCCGCTTGACCTCAGAGCCCTGAAAGCTTCCATGTAGTTCTGATGCAGTTAATGTGGCCTCTCCGTTTTGTCACCTTGACTGATCATTTGAGCCATATTACAGAGAAGACGACTGCAGGTCTCTTTCTCTTGTGATCTGTAGATGACAATTTAACTTTCCTTCAAGAAAATCTTTCATTTTGGTTCAGGAATTAGTGAAGGGTTCCTAGACTGCGCTATGGTACCTTTTTCCTGTTAAGCTATCAGCAGGATTTCAGCAGTTCCAGCATTCCTCGCCTCGTTTACCTTTTACAAAAGTACAAAGCGTAGACAGAGAACATTTTGGCACAAAGCCCAAACAACTGTGCTGTGTAATGTTTCTATTCTGAACGTTTGTTTTATGGCAGTCTGGAATTCCTTCTCAGTTTTACCGTGCATTACAAAATTCTCTAAGCATCCAGCGCTGATGCAGCCTTTAGGGCGGTGAGAAATTATTGTTTGTCTTGGTGAACAGTGGGACTATCTGTAGATGGTTTATCATGGGTTTTAACTAACTGTTTGTGTTGTACACTGTTAGAATATATATGTGGGCTCACTCAAAGAAGAAGAAAAAGATGCTCATCAGGAACAAGTTTATTCTGAATGTGCAGCCTGCAAGCATATTAGTTTTCCTCCTGGTGTTCTCTTTCCAGTTTTCTTCCAAGAAGGATCATAAGAGTCTACATTCAAGATGAAGTGGAATGGCAGTGTGCTCACTGAGCTTTGTATACTATGCACCTAGCAAGATGGGGGGAAGAACTAGAGCACAGAATTTTAACTGTAGTTTGGTATTTAGAGGACATGACAGTGGGGAATAGACAGCCAGGATTTGATTGACAAAGGTACTGTATAGTAATAGGTGTTGCGTAAGACAGAGACAAAAACTCGTCTATGTTCTTGGCTGTACTGCTGACTTACTGTATTAATTCAGATAAATGACTAAATTGCTAGGTTCCATATTTTGTCCACTTGTAGAATGGAAGAGACTCTTATTTCCTTTTGTCACGATTTCAGCTCAATGTCAATGGGCTGAAGTGTTGTTATTCTTCTTATATGTCTTCTAGTGAGATTTAAGTACTTTTGAAGACATCCTTCAGAGCGTTTGAGAAGAAATTACTGAGTAGTTTGCTATTATTTCTACCATAGTTGAAGTGTTCTCTGAGCATAATTCTGAACTTCTTGATGAAAATTTGAGAACCCTATAAATATTGTATATATTATATTTCTACTAATGTCAAAATCCTTGACATTAAAATGATCAACCAGATACAGTTAAGGTGTTTTTACCCAAAGTCTTCCAGCTCATCTGTAGACAGCTGAGCATAGATTACAGATCTTCTGACTTCAGCTGATGTCCAGTCTATCTTCTTTCCTCTAATTAATTTTATTTGTTATAATCTTCATTGCCAACTTTTGTTTTTTAATAAATAAGAAAATAAAAGAGAATTTATGGCTTTAACTAGCAGAGTTTTATGTCTTGTATCCAAAAGTTCCTAGAACATTATAAAGCAAAAATTGCCTTTTAAAACTAAATTTTATGCAAGAATCATCAAGAATTTGTTTCTTAATTTTGCATTTACACCTGTGGAGGAAGAAAGCTTTTACTGTTAATGTTTCATAATACACCTAATAAATTGTATATTAAACTATACACATGCCACTCAAATATCGGGTAGATAAAGGAAAGTAAAGGAAAAGATGGTATATTGTTGTTAATAAGTAGCCCTTGTTTGAGAGCTTAAAACTGAAGGCAATGTAACAAGATGAAGCACTGTAATTAATATTGTACATAATATTGTCTATTTGTGTAGGTTGAGATTTTTTTTTGGTCATTCCTCTTTTTCTTGAAACTTTTGTGAATCACAGCTCTTTTAGTGAGGTTGTTTTGGTTTGATTATAATGTGTTACAAAATATTGTTAGGGGAATATCTTATACAAAGATTATCTGTCTTTTGTTTTGAGCTAGAGATTATATAATTCACTTGGCACTTTTGTTATTCTTTGTGACAAAGCAATGATTTCAAAACACTGAAAAAATTATCATGGCATTGTTCTCAATAAGTAGTAGTAGGTGGTTATTCATCTGAATGGAGTGCTTGTTGCTATGTGAGTAATTTCTGACAAACTAGATTTAGCCAAGTAGTGTCAACATCTAACTTCTTAGACAAACTATTAAGTAACATCATTTATCTGAACCTCTTTTAACACACAAATGTAAGAATATCAGATTTTTTTAAAATCTTCACTCATTATGGAATTGTAATATCTTCTGATATGAAAATTCGGCAGGATTCTTAAATACCTATATTTATTTGTATCTTTGTATACTTTGCGTTGTATGGTGTAGGTATTTTTCTATATCATAGAAGTCTACCATAATTTTTGCAGTAGGAGGTAGCATAGATGTCTCTTTTGGTTTATGTTTCTAATACAACTATTAAGTATGTGATTTAAATAAGTGATCTCTGTCTGTCTCCCATTTTAGCCCTTCATTCCTTTGAAGGAATTGGAGCAATTTGACTTCGATATACAAAAATTGCTTGAACCATTGGAGGCTGAAATTCAGCAGGGAGTGAATCTGAAAGAGGAAGACTTCAATAAAGATATGGTAAATTAGTTGAAATGGAAATCTGAGTGAAGTAAGCAGGGAGATGAATAAAACCTGGGTGAAAATTAGAAGTTTCAACATCTGCATTTGGATCTTTAGAGATGAATTGCACAAATTTTTAGAGTGCTAATATATTATCAATTCAAAGGTCCCAGGTTTGGATCAGCTAAATATTTTAGTGATATGTTTGCAGTTGGTTTTATAAGAAAAATATTTTTTGACCTATTTAAAATAAACACTGGGCAAAGCAGAAATGTTATCCCCAGGTAGCAGCAGTTTTACAGAATAGGGAATGGATATTAAAATTTCTGTAGCAGTAGAAAGACCAAAAAAACCCAGAATGATGCATCTATTTGGGTAATAAGGCAAGAAAAGACCTTCACTATAGACAAATGCTAGCTAATGATCACTGATATAAAATGCCACACGTGACAATTAGTTCTTAACAGATCTGACCGTACTATTTATTGGGAATAGTTTGGGGCAATTGTAGGTTTTATTACTTACATATTGATCATGAATCAACGGCAAATGTTTACTCTTTGTAAGTAGTAAAACGTATTTGTGCAAATTTTAAGAGAGAGGAGCAAAATATTGCTGTGCTTTGCTACTGTTGCCATTGTGGTATATTTTCTCCCAAAGTGATTTTCAGAGTACTTCCATTTCTTGATTGCCCGATAACAGTGATCTGTGATCTATCTCTTTAGATCTGTGTCTTTGTGAGTTATCAGCAAGATCAAATACATATTTCTTTACAAGCAATATAAAGAATCTGTATGCTTTTCCATTTAAAGAATTCCTCAAAGATACCTATTTTATGTCATTGATGAAAGGAATCTGCATGACATTTTTTTCTTCCCTGTTTTTCTCCACAGAAAAAATGCTAGCTATTTAGGGCAGTATTTATTGCAGTTGTAAGTTCCCAGTGAATCGAGTTTGTCCAGATAGTTTCCATTAGAGGAGCATATTTTGTTCCCTTTCTTTATGTAAAATGTTTAGGATCGTTCAAGGGATATGCTCTGAAATGTGACGGCGTAGATTCACTGGCTATATAAAAAATGCTAAGTGTTATTTTTTCCCTTACCAGCATAGCTCTTTGACATTGGGGTGATACTATTACATGACATGTTTAGGAATCACATGGCCTTCTAGCATAGCAGTAATTTCGGTGACTACTGACAATTATTTAGAGTATTTTGGATGTATATCATTTGTTGTTGTTGTAACGTAAAATGTATTTTAACTTTTTGCCTTTGTTGTTTTTGTCCTGTTATCCTGGATGCTGCATAAAATCTAATCTCAAGCATCTGTAGGTTTTCAAGTGCTATTTTACTTGTACAATTCAAATCTCTGCATGTGTTGCAGGGAGTAAGTAAAAGCTATTGTGCCTTCAATACAGAACTGTAAGTGGATGTTAGGTGATTCCCTTCGCAGGGAAAATGTAGGCTTTTTATTTCTATATTTCTTAGTATTTAGGTAATAAATAGATTTAAATGCACATTATACATGTTATTTTTTTAAATCAGAGTGAAGACGATGAGAGCACAGTAAAAGAGTTGCTGCAAAGGGGAGACACTCTTCAAAAGAGAATCGCAGATGAGAGAAAACGGGAGGAAATAAAGATAAAACAGCAGCTGTTGCAGACTAAACATAATGCTCTCAAGGTATAGGAGCTAAAGTTATAAGCCAATGCTACTAAACCTTTTTCTTTTTTATTCAGGGCAATGTTCTATTAAGTTAAGTGAAGCCTCATTACTATTTAGTGCCTAGTCATTTTAAACAATTCAGCTCTAAGCATATATTTTCTTATACATGTCTCTTGATGCCTTGGGAAAGATATGTTAAATTTTCGGGTTAACAAATACTGTTTTGGCCCTAGTTTTACAACCAGGTGACTGCCAGTTGGACTACGGAGATCTCTCTGTTAATAATTACTTTTTTTAACCCAGTGTGCATGTTTCTCCAACACTGAAGACCTTACTTACAATCATTTCTCACAAATTTATATCTTCAGTTGTAGAACATACTCATTATACTGGACATGTTAATGTTTATCCTTTAATGAATTAAAAGATTTATGTGCCATGCTATTTTAGTGGGAATGTTGATTCCAGGCTCTTTAAAACTGTGATAGGGTACCAATAGACGTAGCAGCTAAGAGACTGAAAATCAAGGCATATATCAAAATTCAGTGTTATCACACTGCTGGAGGTATAGCTGCCTGGTACGGTACATGTAAACATCCACAGTGAGGTGCATTTGGATAAACTGGTAGACTTAACTGAGCGTGTCTTCTTCCCAGGAAAAATAATATAAGTGAGGAAAGAAAGAATCATAGTTGGACTGTCACCTTGGTTACCTACCTGGAGCTGGCTAGTATAGGAAATTATCTCACTGAATCACAATTGTTAGTATTTTGGAGGGGAAGAATTTTCTTTCTCTTGAAAAATGTCATTCATTTTTTTATGCCTCTGGAAATATGGCATGGTTACATTTTATTATTACTGATTTTCAAGTAACAATATTTCCTTTCTGTGTGAATTTCATTCTAATTTTTACTGACCTTTGTGAATTCAGTAAAAGAATAGATAGAAGATACCATTTAAAAGAAACTGGACATTTATTAGATTTTTCTTTAACTGCTCCAAATTAAATGCAAGTAATCTATAATTTTTACTTAGGTGAAACAGGAGACTTGTTTTCAGAACTCTGCTTTTGACCAGATCCCTTACTGGCTGTGTTTATGGAATGGAGTCATTTATTTTCTTTTGAGTGACTCAGTTAAGGCATTCAATCTTGTCAAATAAAATTCAAGACCAGTCTAATGAAGTTCATCTGAATATTTTTACATAATATGTATCAGCAATGTTTTAAGTTACTTGTTAATAAGTTATAATAGTGAAAATATTTTCTGAATTCTGCATAAGTAAAGTTAGGTGGTTAAAGCAAATTCACATAGAATATTTTTTATAACGCTCGTAGGAAATAAAATAACATTATTGAATTCCCTGTTAAAGAGAAGTTTTAACACTTTCATAAAGCAGCTGAGTCATAAACACAAGACATTTACTATGTACGTTTTCTTTAATTTAAAAAAAATCTTATCCTTACATGTATTTCTGAATTGAAATGATTTTCCTTTGGATAGCTACAGAGTTTGCATGCAGGCTAGAATTCCACAGGAGACAACAAAGCACAGGAAGCCCGCTTATTGCTAGATATAAGTAGGCTGTGTTTCCATCTGTCCAGTAAGTATTTCTGAGCAGAAGTGTTTTATATAAAATGTTGACGTGTGTGTAATAGTCTTCGTTTCTCTGAATATTGGTGACTACCTCAGTGGTTTATTCAGCATGTGAATAAAACTGAATTAGAGAATCTCCTTCAATAGAAAAAATAGTCTATGTTAAATTGAAGACAATATGCTGTATTACATACTTATATATATGATTTGAATATCAACATTTAATTTTTAAAAAGTTATGCATTTTTCATTTTTTCCATTCAGTGTGCACGCATGCCAATCCATATTTTATAAGTCTTTAATTCATATTCTAATAATGTCTGCACTGTGAACAGGACTTGAGGTCTCAACGAAGAAAAAAGGCTTTAGAGATTTCTCATCAGTGGTATCAGTACAAGAGACAGGCTGATGATCTCATGACATGGCTGGATGACATTGAGAAAAAGTTAGCCAGTCTACCAGACCCCAAAGATGAGCAGAAGCTAAAGGTAATGTTGTTTGGGGATGGCAATGGCAGATTTTTTTTTGAGCGTTATTTTATTAATTTAAAAGACAACAACTGCAACAAAAATATTCTGCTACATATAAAAAAAACCCACAAACAAACAAACAACCCCCCTGACAATGCTTGTTCAAATGGACATTTCTTTGTTGTGCTATATCTTGTATTCATGTGCTATACAGAATGCTATATACATGATTTGAAACACACTAAATACAATTTTATGTTAATAATATGGAAAGTGTGCAATGTATTAAAAAGCATCAAATGTTTTCTAGTAAACATTGTAATTGATTTTGTGTATCTTTGTTCCAGATGAACAAATGACTTACCGATATATGGATGACCTCTTTCTCATGTTAGCACATTCATTTTCATCAGAACATGCTCATATGTCACTGTCAAAATCTGTAGATTTATTTACATACTGTCAAAGGTTTTCCTACTTTATTTTGCATCGTCTTTCTTTGCTTCATTCTCTGTTGAGTTTCCCACAGAGTAAAAAAGGAGTTAAGTTATATATTTAGTCAAGTAATATTTTTGTAAACTATCCAAACACTATTTATTCTGAATATACTGGCCCTTACAGATAAAAGAATTTCTCCAATTGCCCATCAAAGTGCACTAGCAAGGATCAGGAAGTGGAAACTGTTGGCCTTTGCTAACTGGTTTTCAATGTATACTGGTTGTTAACACCTCTGCAGTCAATCTACAAGACGGTTCTTCAGTTTAACTTATGTTTGTTTTGTCTAACTGTAAAATAAGACATGAAATAACTGTACATTTTAATTGTAACAATAAAATGGAAATGGAAGTTCTGACAGAAGTATTTTGCTAGTTCTAAGTTGATGGATCTAGTTAGCTAACTGTCCTGGGCCCTGTATTGGTTTTGCTCACTAGGAGATTGATGGAGAATTGGAGAAGAAGAAGGAAGATGTGAATGCGGTGCACAGGCAAGCTGAACGCTTGTCTAAGGATGGGGCTGCAAAAGCAGTGGAGCCAACCCTGATACAACTCAGCAGGCGCTGGCGAGATTTTGAGAGCAAATTTGCTCAGTTTCGAAGACTCAACTATGCACAAATTGTGAGTTGTTACCAGCAAACCCATATGTTTGCAACTGCTACTACTAACAGCATCCTACTAACAATGAGAGCTTCAGGGGCAGTGTCAACTCTTCAGCTATTAATAAGAAAAAGCCTGTTGTCTGCCAGTGGGGGAATAGCTATGTTCTAATACAATAGTTCTCTGCTTTTCCATTTGGTCTTAAAATTGCCCTTAAATCAGCTAACTGCAGAAAACTCAGCAATGAAAAACTCTTGGTTTTTTTCTGTTGCCTCATTATTTTTCCATGACGTTTTCCAGTTTAATCATGTCGGTTTGCCATGCATATATTTATTTTGTTAAATAAACATGTGTGAATCAGCAAAAAGTATTATTTTCAAACTACCCATCCCATGCCAATTTTAATTGTTTTTTATTTACCCATAACACATATAATACTGACTTTAGGAAGAGATTACAAAATTTCTTCTTACACTATGTGTACATGGCCTGTTCTTCAAAGCTTCAAACCTCAAAGGAGTTTTTGCAAGAAACTATAGTTTTTTATTTGACAGGATGGAAACATCATTTTATAAACCAACTTTTTATTTTGATGATTTTGAAGGGTTTAATTATGCATAAAATAATTACTCTTGCTTGTTTATTCATGCTACAATAACTGGATAAATGAAAGGGAAAACAAACGGTCCCTGTTCCAGGTTTGAGATCAAAACGGGTATTGGGCAAATTACCCATTTGGAAGATTACCAAAGTTGCTTTTGCACTCACACAGCAGTTTTTCCTTACCATTCCATTTTCTGCGTTCATTGTCTTCTGGCCGTTTGGTTTTTTTAACGAGAAGGTTGACTCCTGTTTACTATCAAAGAAGTTGTTGCATTATGTGGTCTTCTGGAATCTTAAAAATGCTAGTGTTAAAGAGAGTTTCAACATTTTTTTTTTTTAATGTACCTAGGTTACAGAGCAGCCATACTGACAGGACAATGAAAATTTAAATGTAGAAAGTGTGCTTTCTCCTCAATACATGGTGGACCATGTTTTAAACAAGAAAAATAATGCTCAAATAATAAGCAATACCCTTTTAGTCAATGCAGTCCTTTTTAAATGTACTGAATGTATTAACCTGTTTTTATTTTGAACTTTTCTACTATTGAATTATGTAATATCTATATAAATATAATACTTGGGATAGCTTTGCAGTTAATGGAAACAATCAGAGAAACATTAACTGTGGTTGGTATGTTATTAAATCTTGTTCCATATGATTAGTCTTCTCAGATTACTATGGTTTGTATTAACTTTGATGGATGTAATCTGTTGCAAATCATTTATGTTGGCAAGGAGCTAGAGCAGGCTTCATTTTGTCTTATATAGGAGTCTTTTTTTTATAATGAATTTATTTGTTCCTGAGGTAATCAAGTAAGAAATAAGAACAAACATGTTATTTATATACAAATATTCTACTGTCATTGTGTCCTTTATGCCCTCCCATCTTCTAAGACACAGAACCAGTATCTCCATTATAAAATTTTACGAGCAAATCAATAAAAATATGTGTTAGTGTATTTTACTTTAAAATATGTAGAAGTAAATATATCAGCAGATGTACTTTTGAAATGGTCAATGAAATATATATAGTCATTGACTTTTTTGTTATGTAACCATTACTTGTATTATTATTGTTAAAATTTGTTTTTATATTTTTATTCTTATAATATTTGAATTTTAAAATCTCCTTAGCGTATGCAGGAGGGCTACATGTTGCAATTTATCTGTGGAATGAGGACGTTATTCAATTAAATTTACATGTGTACAGTGTAGTTACAGAATAATTTACATTAAAGTTCTCATTTCTCATGAAAATATATTTTTCTGTTGATAATGAGTGTGGTGGTTCAGGAGCTGTTGAAACTGGTAAGAGACAGTATATTTTCATGGCTCACATCAGAGTGAGGAGAAGTACATTTGCTTTGTTACTGTCCTAGTTCTGGCTTTGCCGAGGCACTGAAACAAAATGTATTTGTCTTGACACCTTTCTTTTTTTTTTAATGCAGCATAAATACCTACCTCACAGGGATGTTGTGAGGATTTATTAATTGTTTGTACAAGACTTACAGATACAAAAGAAAAATGAAAATCTAAAGTATTCACTTAAATACATGCATACACCAGCAACAGTAACATTCACAGAGATTTTTCATGTTAACAACCAGCTGAATAAAACCATGATGCAATAAAAATTCCCAAAGGAATCTCTTTTTAAAGCAAAGAAATAGGAAATTTCTACATTTTCCATTGATAATTGATGATGTGTACAACAACAGACTTAACAATTGAAAGTTGTAATTATAAAGTCCTAAGGATTTGGTTGTACTATATACCTTGCAATTCCTTATGATTCATTGAATAAACATAGTAAAATGCTGCGTTGAAGAAGACCTTTAAATATGTGGCTCGATGACAGAAGTGCATTTGCCACCTTTGGCAGAGCTACTGTAATTCTGATATCAAAGTGCGAAATTAGAATGATGATGCCCCCCATATTTTACTTTTCCCCAGTTTTTCTTAGGCAGACCTGTCAAAAGGGTAAAGCAACCATAAAAACATAAGAATTGATTCTCTCTGGCATGGTAGATTTTAATAAAAACATGATTATTTCTCAGAAACACAGCAGTCAATATCCAACAATCATTTGACAAATGTGTATGTGCGTATATATATGTATGCAAAAGGGAATATTCTGTCACTGATTTTGGTAATATGGTATGTAGCTGAAAGCAGAAACTTAAAAAGATGAAGTATAACTACTCTTCACTAAACATAATCAGCTTAAAAAATTTGTTATATCACCTCACCCACTGCATGTTCTGTTTAATGCCAATTTGAGACATTATTTTCAAGCAGGAAAGTGTGGCACCCTTAGAGAAAAAGGTAATTTATTCAAATAACAGAATAAACACAATGCAATAACAAATAAAGGTGCACAAAGCTGCCTGAACTGACACTGAATGGGAAAAAACAGCAAAACTGTAAAAAGTTTTTGGAGTTCATGGTGTCCTCTCTGTCTCCCTTCCCATGCAGTGTCTTCACATATATGTGGCAAAATAATTCGGTGGGGGAAATTTCAGTTTCCTAGGCTCAAGTACAGCTAAGGTGATTTAGCTTCTTATTTCCCTGTTAAGAAAGGCTTAGCTTCTGCTTCATCTCTGCTAAGAATTTCAGTTTGAAACCTGTCAGTAGTAACTTTAGTTGTGAAGTGAGTAACATAACGAAGAGTTAGAGATTTTACGACCTCATTTTAAAACGATGATTAACCACCAAATCCCACTGCTCTCCTCAGGAGCTAAAGATACTCTCCAAAAAACAAGCCCTTAATGTTTAATCCTAGAGACTATATATAATTTTTGCATATTAAAATAAATTGCATTTGTTTTTCAGGAAAATTTGTTTCACTTAAATGATAACAGTAGGGAGGTCTGGGGACATTTGTTTCTAGATTACCTCTGCAGAACCTAAAGTCATTAGGTTGCACAGTATTTTTAGGAAAAAACCCTAAAGCTTCCAGTTACCATTTTACAACACAGTTTACTGTCTACAACAGTTTATACAAAAGTTCCAGTGTGATAAAATGGTTTCCCTATAAAGAGAAAAAACTTGACTCACACTGTTTAGTTCAAATCAGGATGCAAAAAAAAAAAAAAACAGGCTTACCTAAGTCATTTCAGTAATTTCATTAGTGACACACACAAAAATTATGTTGAAATTCATGGTCATTTTACTATTGAATTGATTGGGCCTGGACTTTACCCGTACTGGGAAAAAGATAAAATGATCAAATGATAAACAGCAAGAGAGACAACAGCAAGATCTTTTTGTACCAATAAGACTACGTGGTGAACAAGAGAGAATAATGAAAATAACTATACAAAATATGTATTTATTTCTATAAGGTAAGTGATTTAGGCAGAGCACTTCAATACAGTTGCTATCTGCAACATGGATAAAATGCCAATACTCTTAGTTTTTAGTATGAAATTAATATAGTAAGGTTTGTTTTTCCAGTAGGAGAGATTATCTTGTTATAGATTATATAAAGCATTCGGAAATTCAGAATATCTGTCTCCTAAGGAAAGATCATTTCAGGTGAGAGAGCATGTGATCAGTTTCTGGAACCAAATTAATAACTTATCAAGTTTACATCTGAATTTCAAGTGTTGTATGAGTTCAGTCTTTTAAGGGCATCTTTCAATTTTCAGTTAATATTTCCTTGTGGAGTTCTCTTTATTTTATTTAATGAAGCCTAAGGTTGTTTTACTGTTAGGTCACCTATAAAAATGTTTTCTAAAATCTAATCAAAAGTCAGTTGGAACCAATCTCTTCTGTCATAGCAAGATAAACAGGAGATTACTATCCTAATTCTTTCTGCAGATAAGTAATATGAAAGTTTCAGTTCTTAAACCGGTGCTGTCATTGCTTTAGAACCTTGTTTTCCACAGTTTTCACAACCAGCAGCATTTGAATGAAGTGGTTTTCTTGTTTCTCACCTTGCTTAAATATCTCTTTGAGTAAATGAACCAGTGACAGTTGCGAAAAAGAAGAGGCTAGCTAATTCTTCTTTGTTGCTACAAGGAGTGAGAGAGAGAGGAGGCATAAAAGCAAGAAGAGACATTGGAAAAGCAAAATAGAAGAAGCCCAAACGATAAGAAATAAACAGTGACAGATCAGAACGCAGTGTCTCTTTCCCCTGTGCTCTCGTAGGGCTCCCAAGGACAGGGCAGAGGTGCTGCTGTGACACCATTTCACTTCTCTCACCTTTGCAGTGACAGCTCTTCCAATAACTTTACATAGTGCAACTAAACGCCGGGCTTTCTTTGACTGTGGTCTGAGAGAAGGGTGACGAATGAGCCTCTTTCTTTGGAAAGAAAATCACAGCTGAATGCTAACACCAATTTTCTAGCATCCATCAACCTGGAAATTCTCAGAGAAATAGTCATTTTGTAAAGACTGCTATTAGAAAATTTATT